ATTTATTTATTTTTGTACCAGGGATCAAACTCAGGACCTTGCACTGAGCTATCTCACCAGCCCTCCATTTTTTTTTTTATTTTTTTTATTTTAGGGAAGGGTCTACAGCATGTTCAGGCTCTCACTACTAGATTGGACTAGGAGTAATTCTCCTGTTTACAGCCTCCCAAGTGCTGGGATTACAGGCGTGCACCACCACACTCAGTCTCAATCACTGTCTCAGTGTGCCTCAGGGGCAGGGCCGGCATGGAAGACCCAGGGATCAGACCTCTGGCCCCTGCACCTGCTTGCAGGCACTTTAATTCGCCAAGCTATTTGGTTGGTCCAAAGAGTTCTAGCAAACTTTGATGTGACTATAATTTGTGCAGCCATTGTAGACTACAGTATGGAATTTCCTCAAAAAATTAAAACTAGAATTACCACATGCTCCAACAATCTCATTACTAAATGAGATTGAAAATGAAATGTCAGAGAGGATATCTGTACTTCCATGTTTATTGCAGCACTATTCACAATAACCCAGATATGGCATCATCTAATTGCCCATCAGTGGATGGACATAGTATATGTACAGAAATTATTAAGCCATAAAAGGATGACAGGATAAAGACCTGTCTTTGTGGCAACATGGATAAGGCTGGGGGACACTGGCTTTTAAAATTTGGTCTTACAAAAAAATTTTAAAGTTGACTTTTTTTTTTTTTTTTTTCAGAACCAGGGATTAAACTCAGACCCTTGCACTTGCCAGGGAAGCACTTATTCTACTGAGCCCTTAAAGTTGACTTTATAGAAGTGGAATATAAAATAGTGCTTACCAGTTGCTGAGGTGGGTGTAGGTGATGAGAGGTTAAGAAATAAGCAAAAAGTAGTAGATAATAGGAATAAGTTATAATATTGTATTACACAATAGGGTGACTATAGATAATAATAAATATGATCAATTTAAAAATAGCCAGAAGAATTTTGAATGTTTCATCATAAAAGAATTATGAATCTTTCAGATGGTATAAAGCTAATTACTCAAATTTGATAATTACATATTAAGTAATATAGAGAAAAATTAATTCCAACTTTTTCATTTTGTTTCTTCCCCTCAGGGTTCCATCTACTACCTCCAGCTGCAGTGGAGCTGTAGTCTGAGTAGGACTGGCCCAAGTTCTACATAACTTGTAATGGTTCTTCATGGCCCTGTAAACATAGAACTGCCTAATACCAGGCAGGAGTTCCCATATGAGAGGTATAATTGGATTTATTACTTTCACTAAAAGTGACTGGTATTCTTGATCTAAGCAAACAACACAAACTTTTGTTTGCAAACTTATAGTAACAGCCAAGAGAGTCAGAAAGAGGCCAAGTGAAACTCATTATACGAATTCCCTGGAGATCCCAAGCCCCATCAAACTGCAGAGATGAATAGATCCCTTAAGAAAACAAAGCTGCAGCCCAAATTGTTCAGCCCTGATGTCACTTCCACAAAGAGATGTGTTTATTCAAGGAGCAGCTCACCCACTGTCTCCTAGTGCGCCGTTGTTCACAGAAGAAAGCTTATCTCACGGAGACTTGGTTCATTTGAGGGTAAAAAATTCTTTGTCAGAATTGCGCCACCTTGCCAAAGGAGGATGAAGGAAAGCTTCACATAACTGCTTTTTCAAGACTCCCCAGGAGAACTTTCTGAAAGGGAGAGCTTTTTCAAGCACTTTACTCATCAGACCCTTTGTGCCGAATGATAACAGAGTCCAAGAAATCATTTCCAGTGTAAGGAACACAGCTGCCCTCTGAGGAAGCTTTGGAAAGGACGGGTGTTCTTAAGACAATGCCATCAAATTCGTGAAAGATGCAGCTCCAACCCAACAGTCTTAAGACCTGAATCCAGGATCCAGAGTAGTCATGCTCCCCTAAGAAACACCCACAAGAACCAGTTAACATCTGCAATCCCTTGAGTAATTTGGAATGACCGTGGGACTTTCCCCAGCCATGTTGCTAGACAGACACCTGACCCTTGATCTTCAAGGCCATCTCCACCCTGGCAACTCAGATGACAAAGTGGCAGTGGCTTCTCAAGCCCTCTTCTCCCTGGCACTTGCTTGTATATTCCACCATACAGTCTGCTACATCGAGGATAGGCCCTTGGCCTCATTTGTAACTTTAGCCCTACTGTCCAAGTCAATGCCAGAATGCAACAGGGACTGGCAACTTTAAGTCAGTCAGAGCCGCTGTGTTACTGACTCCGCAGAAGGACTTTGCCTGCCCTGCTTACTGTGTTATCCCTCCTGGTATTCTGTGCAGCTGTCCCCTTGCAAAACCCAAAGCTTTAAACAACATTGAGTCTGGGTGAAATTCTTAATGCTTTACCATGGCTAGGAAGATCTCACCCCCATTCTAAGCATACTAGGCCCACTCCAAAGCATGTAGATTTCTAGCTGTGCAAAGAGAACCCTCCAGGTCCTGCACACTTTCCCCCTGGGTACTACACAACTGAGCTTTAAAATCATGAACAGAGTGAGGTGGATGCTGCATCACAGTCAGGCTCTCCAGCTGCCAAGTGAGTCTCTCATTCATCAGTCATGAAACAAAATGGGAGAAATGCCTGGGATTCATGAGGTCACCAGCTTCCCTCTGTAGCTCAGCTAGTGGCCATGGGTTTGAGACAAGAAAAACTGGTCACTTAAGCTGGTCGCAATGTCTTTCAGGGTTTATCTGTGGTGAGTTCATGCCTCAGAATAAAGCTGAAGCTTTCCTTCTTCACCCTGCTCACATTCAGCTCTTTGTCACTTTACTATCTATTTTTATCTTTCTCCCAGTGTGTCCCACACAGTACTCAGGACTGATAACCATTCTGTTAACTCCTGATGATGTTACTTGGTGTCTGGTTCATGTTGGATTCTGCTTTTGTTCTGGAAAGAGCAGAAGTTTCTGGGCCACCTGGGCTGAGCTTTGAGCCAAAGCATCGGGCTGTAGAGGCCTCCTTTGCAGTCACTGATGCATCTAGACAAGCAAAGCACCTGGCACAACTCGCGGGGAGTAGTCCTAGTGACACCTGAGAGGATGATGAGCTATACTGTGCTTTTTTATGACTGCACACAAATATTAGTGACAGTGTTAACTTTATGGAACAACTTTGAACAAGGTAGCCTAATTTAAAAAGGAGACAAAACATTAAAAAGGGTAATGTTTATATAAATATTTATATAGTTTTCCAGTTGATTTTCCTACTAAAATCACTTGATATGCTTACCTCTCCTGCCCCCTTTTTCCTCCCAAGTATGGAGACTGGATTCCAACCTTATTCTCCAAATAATTCTTGCCATGGCTCTGCCTTCTAAAGTAATAATTGAAAATACTTAAGGAAAGAAATTTTCAAAGATGCTGACTTTTAAAGAGACCTAATGTTCATCGTTTGGGTTTGATGTCTTTCTTTCTTTCTTTTTTTTTTTCTTTCTTTCTTTCTTTCTTTCTTTCTTTCTTTCTTTCTTTTTTGTTCGTTGTTGTCTGATGTATTTGATACAGGGGTCCCACTACACAGCTCAGACTCATAGTGATCCCCTGTTTTCAGCCTGCCTCCCCAGCTCTGGGATTACAGGTGCGCGCCACCACACCCAGACCTGGTGGCCAGCTCAGAGCACCTGGGGACTGGACCAGTGCAGCACAGGGTTGTTTTTTCTTTTTTACTCTGCTGCCAGAGTCTCTATAACATATGCAACCAGACCTTTGTCTACTTACCGACTCGGTTTGCAGGCCATTTCAAAATGGGGAGTCTACCTTTAGAGAATGTAAGCAGACGCCTCCACCTTCTCCTGAGCAAAAGCCTTCTTCATATGGACCTATTTAAGACTGCTTAGCATGCTGGCTCTACAAAGCTGCTGTCCCCCTGGTATTTATTTACTACATGAGCAATCTGTTCTTAACCTCTCCTATTTCAAATTTCTACCAAATGCAATTCTCAAATGTGTGAGTTGGTGTAATTCTCTCAGCAAGTGTTCACGAAAGGAAATGCAAAGGTGAGTAAAGGATTGTTGACTCACTGAGCAACAAATGAAAGTCAATTATAAAAAGAAAACAAGAAGTAATCAAATTATGAGAGACCCAAAAAAAAAAAAAAAAAAACACATTCACTCCGAGAAGTTTCCATACAAAAGATAGCATTTGTTGAAAAAAGACCTAAAGGATAAGGAGAATATTTTGTTTGTATCTTACAAATATTTTTATTTGTTTCTTACAAAATGAAAGAATATCACATTCAAAAGTAGGTGAAAACAAATAAGGAATGAAAAAATTGCAAAGGGTATGTGGTACCTAGATCCCAGGGTTCACGTGACAGAAGAACCTAGAAATACCATTTGGGAACAGATCAATAAGAACTTTGAATATCAGAGTCCTACTTAGAATTTTTATTTATATGTGGATATTACATGGATTTTCCTGTATGTGAATTATGAGAATTAATATGTGTTTTCTCTCATAGATCTCCTCTTTCCTTGTTAATAAACTAAATATTGGTCAAAGTCATCAGTAATTCCAGTCATTCTCAAACAACAACATCCTCAAATATGAACTGTTTATCAATGACCACACAACATTGCAGGAAAGACATCAACAAGTGATTCTGAAAGCAGATTCTTTGGCTAGGAAGAAAGGAATTTGCTGAGAAAGAGAAATAAAGTTAAGAAGAGTGAGAACATATTTTTAGTTCTGAGCCTTGTGGAATCACCACTCTGTCCTTCAATACAAACATAAGAGACCAAATACAACACTGGTACCCTCTGGAATTACAAATGAGCCTAAATGGTGAAAGAATATGTCTTTCACAAAAAAAAATTGTTTACCCAAAACTGTGATGCTCATGTCTCTTACCTTGCATTTGTAGGCTGTCCTCAGATCCTCAGAACATCCTGGCTCCTGATGCTGAGCTCCTCTGACCAGACATCACTGGCAGAGGGCAGAGGCACCATGGGGAACCACACTGCAGTCACAGAGTTCATCTTGCTGGGCCTCTCAAGTGCCTGTGAGCTGCAGATGCTCATCTTCCTGGGGCTCCTCCTCACCTACAGCCTCACACTGCTGGGGAACCTCCTCATCATAGTCATCACCCTCTTGGACAGGCGCCTCCACACCCCCATGTACTACTTCCTCCGCAACTTTGCTGTCCTTGAGATCTGGTTCACCTCAGTCATCTTCCCCAAGATGCTGACCAACATCCTCATGGGACACAGGACCATCTCCTTAGTAGGTTGCTTCCTACAAAGCTTCCTCTATTTCTTCCTAGGCACCACAGAGTTCTTCCTACTGGCAGTGATGTCCTTTGACAGGTATGTGGCCATCTGTAACCCTTTGCGCTATGCTACCATCATGAGCAAAAGGCTGTGTGGCAAGCTGGTGCTCTCTTCATGGATGACAGGATTGTTCCTCATCTTGGTTCCAAGTTTCATCGTTTTTCAGCAGCCCTTCTGTGGCCCCAATATCATTAACCATTTCTTCTGTGACAGCATGCCACTGCTGGAGCTCATATGTGCAGATACAAGTCTGATGGAGCTCCTGAGTTTTGTTATAGCCAACTTCAGCCTCCTGGGCACTCTGGCTGTCACGGCCACTTGCTATGGCCACATTCTCCACACCATCCTGCAGATCCCCTCCACCAAGGAGAGGCAGAAAGCCTTCTCCACCTGCTCCTCCCACATCACTGTGGTATCTCTCTTCTATGGCAGCTGCATCTTCATGTATATCCGATCAGGCAAGGGTGAGCAGGGTGAGGACCAGAACAAGGTGGTGGCGTTACTCAACACAGTGGTGACCCCAGTGCTCAACCCCTTCATCTACACCCTGAGGAACAAACAGGTGAAGCAGGTATTCAGGGAGCAAGTGAGCAAGCTCCTCTCACAAAGTTGAAAAAGGACAGAGTAAAGGCAGAAGATTCCTTCTTGCCTCAACATCAGCTGATAAAGCTTTTGTCCTTGTCTCTCATTGACAGTTGTTTGTCATGTGCTGTAATGTATGGTAATATCTCACACATATCATTTTAAGTCTTTTATATCATGTTCAGAATCACAGAAAAGTCAATATACCACAGTTATGTGTGGTATCTCTTTATATTTCTTTTTTCTTTTTTTTCTTTTTCTTTTTTTTTTTTTTTTTTTTTTTTGGAACCAGGGATTGAACTCAGGTCCTTGCGCTTGCCAGGGAAGCGCTTATTCCACTGAGCCATCTCCCCAGCCCCAATATATTTCTGACCCTAACCTGTATCTTACTTTTATAATCTTTTCTTGTTTTTAATTACAGTAATAAACTTACCATCCCTTCTTTGCTAGAACTTTTCAAATTTGATTTTAAAAATTCACAGCAAGAATACATTTTTAAAAAGGAATACGTTTATTATAGCCAGGCATGGTGGTATATATCTATAATCCCTGTATCCTAGGAGACCAAAGCAAGAGAATACCAGTTTGAGCCCAGTATAGGCTATTTAGCAAATTAGTGAGACTGTTTTCAATTTAAAAAAAAAAAATTAAAACTGGGAATATACTCAATCAAGGCTGTGGGTTCAATCTCCAGTGTTGCCAAAAAAGAACAAAGAGATCATTGGGACTGGGTAGACAGCCTAGAAAGATATGCTAATATAGAAAAGGATCTAACAGAATAGAAGATCAAAGTAGACTTTCTAATAAGGGAAGATATTTAATTCAATACACAATTTGCTAACCACAGTGAAGCTTTTCTTTTAAAAATATTGGGACTAGTATTTGATTGGTTATTTGAGGTGAAGGAGAAAACTTTTTAAGTGATACATGCCTCAAATTATATTTAAAAACCTACAGTGATATATTCATTCACTAATCTATAAATATCCCTTTCTTTGAGAAGTTGACTGTTTCAGTCTTTTTTAATTAGGCCACATTCATAATGTATCTTCTATAATTTTCTGGATTTGCTTCAGTATTATAAGGATTTTAAAGATGATTGAATATCAGTGAACAAAATTTTAGGATTTTTACTTTCTTAGTTTGCCAACCTTCACAGTTCTTGCCTATACTTAATTTAATTCAATTTGTGTGTGTGTGTGTGTGTGTGTGTGTGTGTGTGTGTGTTACTGGCAACTGAGCATTCACACTGACTTACATCCCCATCCTCCTCCTGATTTTAAACAGGATCTTGCCAAGTCCCTAAATAGACTGGGCTTAAATTTGTCAATCCTCCTACCTCAACCTCCCAAAGTGCTGGGATTATAGGCATATTCCATCACTCTCAGCTTTTGCTACTTTCCTTAATGAAGCCTGTGGAAAAGAATAAACTTAATTTCCATAGAAACTACTATCTTTTTTACAGTCATGTTTCATTGGGGTTTTTTTATTTTATTTATTTATTTATTTATTTAATTTAATTTGTGTGTGTGTGTGTGTGTGTGTGTGTGGCCAGCTCAGCCCACCAGGGGGCGAGGCTGGCTGGCATGTGGTCCTGGGGATTGAACCGTGGTCCCTGTGCTTTGCTAAGCTTGTTCTAAGTAGGTGCTTTAGACCACTGAGCCATCTCACCAGACCTCATTGGGTTTTTATATAGTTAAATTATATAATTACAACAATAAGCCCAATTATCAAAGAAAGATTCGGAAACAACCAATCTTTATAAACTAACTGGTAGGAAGAACAGGGTGTGTGTTCAGAAGTCTACTAGCTGCAAAAGTTCAGCACACTATGGGCATTAGTTATTTTGGCAAGCAGCACAGCATAGTGATTGTGAGCAGAACTTCAGGTTACAGGGTCAGGGATATAGCTCAGCAGAATAAGCACCTGCCTGGCAAGTGCAAGGTCCCGAGTTCAATCCCCAGCACTGAAAAAAAAAAAAACAAACAAACAAACTACAGGTTAAATGTAACCTGCATTCAGAATTGAGCACAGCTACCTGTTAGCCATTTGATCTTGAGCAAGCAAGACACTGCGTGTCAATTACGCATGTGAAGATCATTAGAGACTCTGCCTCACAGAATACTTATACACGTTGAATGAGTTAATGTTTGTCAGAAAGCTTAGCACATGGCTTGGCACAAAGTGTCACATCAAGAACTAAGCATTATGTTTTCTAGAAGGAATAAGTTGAATAAATATAAATTAAGCTATCTACTATCTTAGGGCAAAATTAAGTTAGACTCTCACTTCATATATAGCTAAAACAAGTTCAAAATGAATTAAGTAGATTGGGTGTGGTGGTATGTTCCTGTAATCCCAGCTCTTGGGAGGCTGTAAACAGGCTGATCCCTACAAGTCTGATCTAGTAGTGAGAGCCTGAACATCCTGTAGGCCCTTCCCTAAAATACAAAATAAAAAAAAAAAAATTAAGTATATACATATAAATCTGTAAATATAAAACATAAATTATCTTAGCTAATAGTTTTAGAAAAAATATTTTAAAAATCTATAAATTTGACCATATAAGGTTTTATACATCATTGAGCCAAACCAAAACACCATAAATAATGTAATGATCGTGTGTAATTTCTACCTATGTGGCATCCATTCTTCATTGTTAACATAATAACAGCCCGATTTTTCTCAGGAAATAGCCTGCCCATTCTCAGTTATAGCTAAGGCAATGCTGATCTCTGTCCCAACAATTCTTTTTTTTTTTTCTTTTTTTTCCATAATTTTATGGAGAAACAAATAACAATGAAACAGTTTCAAACCAAATTGGTAGGACAGTTTCAATAATTAACACATTGCATACATTCTTCCTAGTGGTTAATTGCTGTACAAAATGCGAACATGATATCCTATTTACAAACACCATTAGAATAAATCCCTCTATTCATTAAAAGAATGTAACTATGTATTGATCCTAACCATTTTGAATACACAGATACAAAATGGACATTCATCTGTATCCCCTTTTTTTGTTAAGTTCCATTATTTGCATATTATAGGTGTGTTAACTCAGCAAAATATTCTAAAAAAGTCCAGTAGTCCATAATAGTATTGGGTCTTCCACTTCACTGGCAATGTCAGAAATTGTTGACCTGAGTCCTCTACAGCTCAACATAACAGCATGGCTTTACTTCTTTTTTTTTTTTTAAACTTTTATTAGTACATATTTGCAGTACATAATTAGTACACTCACTATAAGGAATCAGTACGTGTTCATAACATATTACAAATCCTTCATTCTCATTGGTGTTTCATCATATATACTACAATTTGTCTTTTACCACTTGTGGACATTTAAATTAGGTCCAGCTTTTTTTTTTTTTTTTTTTTTTTTTTTTTTGTATTTTAGGGAAGGGTCTACAAGGTGTTCAGGGTCTCACTTCTAGATAAGACTCATAGTGCTCCACCTACAGGTGTGCGCCACCATGCCCAGTCTCAATTGCCATCTCAACGTGCCCCGACACGGCAGGCCTGGGAGACCCCAGGCCCCTGTGCCTGCTTGCAGGCACTTTAATCCACTGAGCTATTTGGCCAGCCCTTCAGCCCCAGCAATTCAAACTACAGAACAATGATCAACACCAGGTCAGTGACATCAAATGTGACTCAATTTAGACACCTATATGGGAACTGATGAGAGAAGAGGTCCCTGCTGGATGTGAAGCTGGGAGAATGAATGCAAAAGAAAAGCATAAACAAACTACTTTCCACATATTTTATAAAGTCAACAGAGTCTTGTTACCAGAACTGAAAAGGGCATCATAACAAAGGGAAATTATAAACCAGTCTTTCTCACAAAAATCCTAAGAATCAACAAACTGAATAAAATGATACACAAGGAAGACAATATATCACAACAAAGTGGAAATTTTTCTAGGAACACAAGGCTATGTAATACTTGAAACTCAGGCCACCAGAGCTGATATGCTATAGGAATTTCTTTCTGATGGGTGTGAGTGAGGGAAAACCTCCATCTTTGCACACAAGAAAAACAGAAAGAAGCTAATGCTAGAGCTATGCAACCCTCAACAAGTGCGGAAGGCAGGCTGAGCCCCAGACAGCTATGGGGGCCTATGAGCTCTGCCCGGCTATCCCTTACAGTTGCGGGAGCTGTGCTGAGCTTCAGCCTGCCCCACTCACTGTTTCAGGAGCCTTGATGACACTCACTGTTTCAGGAGCCTTGATGAGTCCAACTTTTCCTCCTCAACATCACAAGAACCTTATAGAACTTTTGCCTACCCCATCATCATCCAAGTACCACATGCCACACCAGCCCCAGCCCCAGGAAGGGTTGAGCCAGCCAAAAAAAAAAAAACCCAAGGATCAAAGGAATAGATTAAAAGATGAAGATACAACTGCAAACACACTCAGCCACCTTGTATTTAAGAAAGGGGCCAAATATGTCCACTGAAAGAAAAATAGCCTCTTTAACAAATGGTGCTATATGCAAGGTCCCAAGTTCAATCACTAGTACTGCCAAAAAAAAAGCATTAGAAGAACTGGCTCTTCACATGCTAAAAACTAAAACTAGACCAGGGTCTATCACCATACACTGACCTCAAATCAAAATGGATTAAAGATATAAATATTAAAACAGAAACACTAAATCTGCTAGATGAGAAAGTAGATGGAAATCTTGAAGACATAGGGGTAGGAAGAGAGTTCATGAACAAAAACCAAACTGCATGGGAAATACTTCAAAGAATTAGCAACTGGGGTCTCATCTGATTGAGAAGTTTCTTCATGCCAAAAAAAACCACCAACAGAGAAGAAAGACAACCCACAAATTGGGGAAAAAAAAATCTTAATCAACATTCACTCAAAGGACTTCTCTTCTATCTAGAATATATAAAAAACTGAAAAAAAAATGAGGCCCCCAAATTATAAAGACCCAATCCAAAAATAGGCATCTGAGATGAATGCACACTTCTCAGAGGAAGAAATACAAATGGCAAATAAATACATTAAAAAAAGTTCCAC